TTTTTTTTTTTTTTTTTTTTTTTTTTTTTTTTTTTTTTTTTTTTTTTTCTCTGGTAACGGTATACGTTGTCAAGACGATATTGTAGTTACTCTACTGCTGACATTGCAAAATAAAAGAAAAGAAGGTAAAGAAAAAAGGTACCAACAGACGATTGTATAATTTAATTTAACATTAATCGTTCGATTATCTCTCGGTCCTCGTCCTGTTGGCGTTGGTCGATCTGCTCACCGACTTTGAGCCACTCCTGCCGATACTACCCAAGTATTGGCTCAGCATCTCCGGTGGCATCATCATGCACGGCGAGGCCGCGTTGCCGTCCGTCGTGTGCTGCTTCAACGTCCTCAAATTGCTAGCTGTAGGCGTAGGTAAATGTTGACGTTTACTTATCGAAGGGCCCCCTTCCCCTCCCCCGTGGGCTGTAAACACGTACCCGTGTGACTCATCCGTGGCCTTGCCGAGGGCACCTGCGGCGCGACGACGTCTTCCTTTTTGCTTGGACCACCGAGCGCGGGTTTGCCGAACTTTTTGTCCTTGAACTCGGCGATGTTCGTCCTTTGGTACTCCTCCAAGTAGAGAAGGAACTCGCGGTAGGTGACGTAGTGCTGGAAAGGCCAAATAAAAATAATCTATTTTGTACACGTATAATTGCACATCGTACCTTGTCCTCCCCCGCCCAATTGCGGTTGGTTGGCTCCGTCAACCCCAACAGATCGATCCAGTGGTAGTAATCCTCCGTTTGGTTGCCGTACCAGTACTTAATGATCACGAAGCTGAAAAGCCAAAGTAATGTATACCTCCTCGCGCCAAATGGACGTGTATGTGTATACTTTGGGCGGTGTTGATTGGCAAATGAGAGGTACAAGTGTAGGATGTGGGTGAACTCACGCCAAGCCGTCGTCTACCATCTTTTGGATCTCGGGGTAGGACATGAGCTCCATGAACTCGGGGTTCTCGGGGTTGCGCTTGACGTCGACCAGCTGCCACGGGGCTATCAACCCGAACCTCACGCACCTCATGACCTCGAGTAGGTGCTGCTTGCGGGTGTCCCAGTCGTGCATCAGCCAACGCACCGCCGACATCAGCACCTCCATCTCGCTGTTGACGCTTATGTAGTTGGAGCGCAGGAGGAGGCACAGCTCTTGCACCGCGAGCTCGAGAAAGTCCTTCGTGCTGACCAGTAGCAGGAAGAACTTCATGATCCTAGGCAGCATAAGCTCCATCACCGCGGTGTTGCCCACCTTGCGGGCGTCCAGGTACAGGAGGAAAGCCGTGTCCTCGCGGAAGAGCTCGTCGTTGTCGATGAACGCCCAGCACTGCTCCTCTAGTTCTGTTTTTTTTTTTTTTTTTTTTTTTTTTTTTTTTTTTTTTTTTTTTTTTTTTTTNGGCTTGTATCATGCCCACATGTATGGTATACTTAGATGTACCCAACCCTCGTCAACGTCACTCGTAAATCCACTATATATATGTAACACACCACCACGAACACGCGATAAATCGAACCCCCGAAGACTAGATTCGATGCAGGATCCTCCAACTCTAACTTTCTCGAGCTATATATATATATATATATACGTATACAATACCAAAGCAATTTATTCTTTTGGCTGATGGCTGGGCCACTATACCTCGTTTTGCAGCGACGGAAGTACACCGCGTGACGCGTGTGTAATTTACTTCGTGCCAATTTATTTGTCCAGTCCGATGCTTTGTTATACCATGGAATATACTAATAAGAGCGCATAGGTATTTATTTATGGTATTTCCTTATGTTTGGTTTTTTTCAGCATAGCTGCCGAGGTACGTTTTGGGTACCTGTGAGGTAACGTTGCTTCCAGAGGCTCGAGGATAAGAGCACAAGTATAGTGCCGTTTCAACGCTCTGGTAGCATTATATCGCCACCAACCACTCAAGAACCGAGGGTCATCGGGGGAGTTTATTTTCATTACAAATGTACACTTTCGTTGTATTACTGCTTTTTTTTTTTTTGGTAAGCATCATAGAGTTGAATTTCAAAAAAAAAAAAAAAAAAAAAACGAAAATTACCTTTTTTTTTCTCAAATACAAACTCGAATATTTGACCCGGGGAGTTAGAGAAAGAGAAAGAATTATCTCAGGTATAGAATCTTCCCTTTTCACCAGAGCGGATTCTTCCGTCGATTTCCGAGGCAGTTGAGGCGGAGGGGAACTCTTATCTGTTTCTTTGTATTGTTTCCAGGCGGATGGGTATAGGTTTGACCGGCTCGAGCGAGTTCACGGGAATCGTAATCTTTTTGCTCGTATTCTGCTTATCTTCCGAGGGATTCCATCTTATCCACGTTTATTCGCAAAACACAAGTGGCGCTTGGATGTACTCACACGCGAGTTTTTTCTTTTTCTTTTTCTTCTTCTCATCGACAAAGATAAAACAAGAATCACAAAGCTTCTGTAAAATATTCATAGCTTCTACTTTATTTTTAGGTATTCTGAAAAAAAAAAAAAAAATAAATAAATAAAATGAAATGAAAAGTAAGGTTCATACTATGGGGGAAGTAACGGGAGTAACGGGAAGTACTAAAGGGAAAGGACGTAAAATATCTTAACGGATTTAATATCGTGATATGTCAAACGATATCTTCTTTAGGCTCCGTTTCGACGGCAAATATTTAGAAATGTTGCTCCTCTGCCAACAAATATAAAAAAAAAACTGTTGTGGACCATTTGGTTGACTCCTGTAAAATAGCCCTGACAATCATTTTATTGATCACAAATTTTGAAAAATCGAGGATTGTGTCCATGTGGCGTGTCGTAAAAGTACGACAACGCGATCGGAAATACGCTTGTGCAAACAATAACAAGCCGGTAGGTATCGATTTATCGCCTGGTCGGCTTGTTTGGTTGTGCTCATTAACTGAAACGCAATAATGTAACGTGAACTCCCTGACCTCGATTCGCGAGTTACACGCAGTAGGTGCGTGGCAAATACAGTTTGTAACAAAAACAACGCAACTTACGGACACCCACCAATACCTCGATATCTATGGGTTTCATGTACGTATTGTTATGGTTACGAATTTAAATATCAACCCTACTTTTGTTCTTGAGAAAGTTAGTTGTTCAAACATGGGTACAGTTGCTTATACCCATACGGCGAGTTAATGGGACGTCAGATACTATCGACCGAACTTGAGCGAGGAACGACAACAATGACAAGTACTTTTTTTTTTTTTTTTTTTTTTTTTTTTTTTTTTTTTTTTTTTTTTTTTTTTTT